AGTATAGTGGTGGGCACCTGTATTCCCAGCTACTCGGGAGGCAGAGGCGAGGCAGAGGGCAGAGGCAGGAGAATTGCTTGAAACTGGGAGGCACAGGTGTGCAGTGAGCCCAGACGCACCACTGCACTCCAGCTTGGGCAACAGGCGAGATTTCTCTCAAAAGCAATAAAATAATAATAATAATAGCAATGCCAGACAGAGACAGCAGAAGAATACCATAAACCAATACCATCATGAATATGCATGCGAAAATCCCCAAGAAAATATGCAGACCCAATCCAGCGACACATACAGTGGTTACACAACATGACCAAGTGACATTTATCTTAGGAATGCATTCAATTTCAGTTAAGTAACCACCCTGTTAATATAATAGAGGACAGGAACTATATCATCATCTTCATAGACAGAGAAAAATATTTGACAGTATCTGATAAAACCATGTCTGCACAAAGATATGTGCTCAGATGTTCACTGCAGCATTTTGCAGGAAGGCCCCAGAGGGAAACAAGCCAAATGTCTACCAATCGAGTAAAGGGATAAAGAAGTGGTATATCCATACAGCCGACGTTACTGAGCCATGACAAGAACACGCTACTGATGCACGGCTACAGCGTGGTTGCGCCTCCAAGACATTATGCTAACGACAAACGTCAGACACAGAAGGACCACCTTACTGCACAAGTCAGTTTATAGGAAATGCCCAGAGAGGCAGCTCTACAGAGAGAGAAGAGGCTTACTGGTTGCCTGGCGGCCTGGAGTAAAGTAAAGGGGTTGACTGCTGCTAGTGGGTACCAGGGATCTTTCTGGTAACCACCCTCCTAAGTCCTTGAAATTGCTCTGACGTGGCTGTAGAATAAATATGTGAAAAGATGCTCTTGAAGGCGAGGCAACCCCTACATTTTTTTCCAATTCATTAACTACAAACAAGGCTATGGAGTCCAAGGTTATATTTAAGAAAACAGGGCAGGTGAAGGGCAGGTGAGCTTATGTCTCTCAACGTCAGCTGTGCATCAGGTCTCTCGTGGA